GCTGATGGTTCAAGCCCCTTATGGCTCTGTCCAGCTCTCCTAGAGTAACTCTGGCAGCAAACCTTCTAGAAATGGCATGTATTGATGTGCCATTGTGATTGTTCGGCCACTAAGTTGGCCTCTGCAACCTCTGTAGGGTCTAGGTATCGCTTCACACTACTAGTAGTGACACTGACCCTAGTCGCCAAAGAAGCTGAAACTGATTAACATCCACATATACATACACACCCCAGAGGGGGGAAAAAAGGAGGAGCAAGACAAGGATCTGTCACGGAAGGACAGGCCCCTGCACGGTATCTACTAATGGAAATTCTACTAATGGCTGAACAAAGATGAACTGAAAGACAGCACAGAAGCACTAATCATGGCAGCACAAGAACACAAGATGGGGTCGCCAACACCAGACAAAACCCCATGTAAGGCTATGCAAAAATGCCCAACGACTAACTGGTGATGGCTAACCAACCAGCCATAGTAGTGATGGACAAGCAGAGGAAGAGGATTATAGTAATAGATTTAGCTATACCAAGTAACAGCAACATCGGGAAGAAGGAACATGTGAAGATTGTTCCTGCCAAGAACTAAGAAGAGCTAGAGAAGATGTGGGAGGTGAAGGCAACAGTGGTCCCAGTGGTAATCAGAGGTGTGTGTGTGTGTGTATTTTAAAAGAAGAGAAGTGAAAGAGCAGAAACGTAAATGGTTTAGGTTAATTCTCGTTTAAAGTTTGGGCTGAGTTAAAATACACTCACTGGTTAGATGTGATTAACAGTTTGGCAAAGTTTCATTTAGGATTAAAATACTGATTCAAATCATCGTTTACTGTTGGATGATACAAGGTTGGGCATAGTATTAAAACACTAGAAGCAAAATATAAAAAGCCTTTATTAGCAGGCTGCTCTGTGCTCCCCTACCTAAAAGCAGTTCTCTTTAGACCACATGAATGTTGTAACTTTTTGGACTAAAATGTATTTCAAAATGCTCCTCATCTCTACCAACTATCTGCTGAGCATGTTGCACAAATTCTGGTGTCAACCTGTAAACATGTGAAATAACTTCTTCAGTCCTCCCACCAAAATTTTCCAAGCTCTACAACCATTTTGAGGCTCTACAATATTGACTACTGTCATGTTGTCATGCCCTCCATCATAAAGCTGTTTTGGTTAAGCCTCTGTTGAACTTCCAAAGAAGCAGTAATTGGCAATCAAGGGCCAAGTCCATTTTCACATAGTGCCTCATGTCCCAGCACGCTGGTGGCAGATGCCTCTGCTGTTATTGACATACTTAACACTCAGCAGTGACACTCATATGCACGGTTATCCTTTTGTTGATTTCACTCACTGCCTGATGTGGATTAAATGTGTGGGAGGTGTGGTGTTACGGTGTGTTTTTGGATCATCAGCTTTGGGTTAATCTGGAACGTCACTCCTCTCCTCAGACACACCACACTCCCTACACACAGTCGGACACACCTACAATTACATATGAGAGCTATGTCCTTTTTATTCACGGTTAACTCAGATATCTGCCCTAAGTGAAGGCTTGCTACTCCGTTGTTGCATAACTGGCAAAACTGCAAAGCTAATTTATGTTCACTCCCACATTGTTCCCTGCAGATCTCACCAAGGCTACTGTTGTACTCTGCACCTAATTTAGCACTGGTCTGCTCCCAGCACTGACACATTGGGAGTTATTTACGGTGAGAGTGAACAATGTGAGACTCAGGAAGGAGGAAAAATAATCAGGAACCTCTCAGTCTTGTCAAGTCGAACTTGTAGAGCATGGTCTCACAGAGAAAATATTCAAACGGTGATCAAACTTCTAGAAAATGATGCACATAGTAAACGGTTTAGGGAAAAATCTCTTTAAACTAGTTACAGTTCATTTATATATTTATTTTACTTGTCTTTAGAAAAGAGGCAGTTATTTATTGAAATCAGGCTTCATTATTGGCAGCTCTTTCTCTTCATCTACATCTCCCCATTGTTGTGTCTTACAACTGATCTCTTTGTGTTTATTTCTAACTTTAACACCAACATGTCATTCAGCTGCATTGTACGAAAACTTTAATTTAAGTGTCAAAATACAATATTTTATTTGACAATAAAGCTCTTTGAGTTCATACTTTTCTATTGCAGTGGGAACTACCAGAGAAGGTGTTTTGTAATCCGTGGCCACTCCAGGTGTACAGATAACTCCAACATGCTATAGTTGCAAGATGCAACTTACAGAACTTAGGGGGTTTAGGATCAGGGTTTGGGTTGGGTTATGATTATGGTTATGGTTATAGGGCTATAGTTAGGGTTATTTTTTGATGTGTCATGGGATGATGTTTCCACGTCGCAAAACTGTGACATCACTATAGTGTGACTGGTCACTTGCATTGTTGATTCTGGACTAATATTAGTGTTGTTGATCCAGGAATGGCACCAACATGGCAATATCAGATCGAGCAACAAGTTGTATCCACAAACTCTGACTGCAACATGCAAGTCACGTTCTGTGTTAGATCCTTCCATTAAAAACACCACAGACAGGGTGGGGAGGTCCAGTGCACTCATTCTGATTCGTAAACTAAGCAGTTGACTCCTGCAGGTGTCCACCTGCCAGTTAAAACACCCTGAGGAAACTGTCCACGGAGGCTTGTACCCCAGAGATTGCTGCTTAGTGTTGTGTAGATCCAGATGGAATTTATATTTGAAGATGTCTGTGGTCTGACCCACAAGCCCTGGGTAATGGGTGCTGCAAGTAGTGTGGTAAAGGGCCTCTCCACTTTGAACCCCTCATGCCATGCTCCTTCTCATTTTTAATGCATAGAGTTTGTTTTTGTTTATAATGTTTGTAAAGATGGGTATGGTCTAAACTCTTTGGACTGGTCTGACAGTTTGAAAGGTTATGTATGTTTTGTGTATCAGTTATTACATTGGCATTAGCTGCTTGCATACCAAAATGTGGCACACGAATCTTTTAACTTTTAGCAAGAGGTGAGATTTGAGTTTGTGTTGAGGTTAAGTGAGCCGCTAGGCCTCGAGTAATGGCGTGTTTGACAAGTTGTTGTATCTGCAACAGGAAACCGCCTGGCCTTGACAAAGGGTTTTGTCCAATTGGAGGATAACACGGGGGGAAGTGGATGTATGGGAAAGCCAGGTCACAGTAAACTGTTGGTAGAGTTCCTGCAGAGCTACAAAATGTAAAAAATAAATCCCCTCGAGTTCAGTTGCAGCTGAATTTAAAATGCAGGTTTGCTCTTTGGTTTTGCACAGTTGTGCATCGTGCTTTGCTTTTAAGAAAGTATTTCACAAAAAGGGATTGTTTGTAGTGAGAATACACTAAGCAACAGTCTGTTAATTAGTTTCCCTGTTTGTGTTTTCTGTGCATTGGGATGGGCCATAGATGCACATAGTTGGTATCATGTGCGTTCCTGCCACTGGTGTCACACGAGTCAACTCATCTGCAGGTTGAAACTACAGTACTCAGTCCTCCAAACAAATATAGATGTCAACTCACCAAGTTATTTATTTTTTCCTTTCTTATTAGCTTGATTTTTGTACAAATGTTGTGCTTCCTGTCATCTGAAAGAAGTCCATTGTGTATAAACAGGAGTGGACCAACTGCGCAAGATAGGGTATCGGCATTGGTAGGACGCACACCATCCAGCTCTGTGCAAAAAACAAACTGAGCAGAGCAGCCCTGAGGTCAGAGAGCAGTGAGGGCTCTTTGGCTTTCTGTGTCAGCTGATGGGGAGCTGCAGTTTGCCAGAAGCTGAAACTGTAGAGCTGCTTACAGTGGAGCAATAAGACTGGAGACTACTGGGTTTGATAACCCCAGAAAAAGAGGAGACACGTCTTTTTAAGAAACATCTTCTAAGGAAATCCTGAATGGCCACAAATGTTCCTGATCTACGGAAGAGGATTAGGGCCACTGGGGAAAAAAAAAAAGAATTCTGACTTTTTTTTCTCAGAATTCTGAGAAAAGTCAGAATTCTTTTTTTTTTTTTTTTTTTTCCAGTGGCCCTAATCCTCTTCCGTACCGATCCTCTTGACAAGGAGGTTGTCTAAAATGTGTCCGTGTCAGCAGGATTATTTAATAAAATTTAAATTTCACATCATATTTTGACAAATTAATATGAATATGACATAAGAAAAAAATGGGGAAACCTGGTTGTGATGTTCTCGAGAAAATATCGCAAGTTAATCTGGATCCAGAGATTCACTTCCTGCATGAATTTTCAGACAGGTGAAAGCATGCAGCCTTGGACTGCGCTTGTTGACCTTTCGATCATATTACATGATTATAAGTTAGGAGGTGCAGTTTGTCCCATTTGTCATGTAGGACTTCAAGCTCTTAACATCTCTTCAGTGTTTGCTTAAGTTATTTTTCCTGTTTCCTGTCCATGATAACACCTGCAGCTTTAAAACATTTTTAAAAATTATTTTATGCAGCTGTTTTCAAAGGTGACCTCAAGTAAGCAAAAAAGGTCATTTTGCTTCCTCTATTAGGCTTTCGGTCTGGGGATAATGATGATGTGTACTTGATTTATGCTTGTAGTGAAGTGTATGATTATGTCAGGGTGAAACACCGTCTCCAGGACATCAGTGTTTATCAGAGTCTCAGTGTGAAACAGCCATATCTTGTCACAAGTCCAAGATGAGGGCTGAGCTGTGGATTTCCCAGAAAGCGTCACTAGGCAAACAAACCAACTGGTGCTCGAGAATAAATATACAGAGAGATGAAATGAGCTGTGACGTATTCATAGAGCAGGTAGACTCATTCCTTAAAAATTATGTTTTAAAGTTTCATTGTTTTTAAATTAAGTGTCGGCCGCTGTTACTCTGGTTAACCAGGCTTTTTCCAGTTAGGGCTTTTTAATTTGGAGTAGAAAGTTGAAGTGCATAGATGTACTTGGAATCAAACAAGATCATGTCAGTGAACCTGTTAAAATTTAATTTACATTTTTTTTTTTTCTCTCTTTCATGCTTCTTTCGGGTTTTTCTCCTCCTCAGTTTCTTCTGTAGCCGCCATCATTCTGTGCTGTGGGGCCGACCCCAAGATGTCTTCTAATGGAGACCTAAGTGAGCTGGGGAGCTCTGAGAGCTTCTGGGAGGTACAGTAGTAACACTTTAATTGCTGTCGTACATCAGCCGCTCTACAAAACTTAAAACAACACTTAACTTTTTATAGTCTGAGTCTTATTATAGCTGCAGTGTTTTAGCCTGCAGACACAGGTTTCTACCCACTCATGCTACTAATTAACCTAACAAGTTGTGAGCTTTCCAACAAGTTGCTTTTTTTCTTATTGGGGTTACGCAACTTTACCAGTCTTTTCTGGCCCGTCTTTCAACTTTTTTGAAAATTCAAATTAAAAAACATCCTCTTTGAATTTTTTTTTAAAATTTTCAACCTTTCATGTTTTTCACTGTTTAAATGTTTTCTAAATCACTGCGACTTAACACCACCAACTCTAGCCTATGAAAGGATCAACACCTGGCTCAATATGTTCAGCACACTCTGGGCACCATGACCTTCATGTACGGAGTGCTTATTGCAGGAGACTGATAGTTATCTAAATGTGCCAAACCGGGAGCATGTCTATTTAGCTGATCAACAGCACCTGAATGCAGAATAACTAAGAGGCCGAAGCAGCCAGATAAGTCAGTGTGTCAGTCAGCCGGGTCTCATTACATGCTTTTATCTAAAGACCGAAGACTGACTTCTTCACAGCCTTCCATGTTGGGAAAAATACACACTCTCATCTCCAGTGGCTGTATTACCTTTTGTCTCCCCTTTTTTGTTTTTTAATCTCAGTTTTCATCTCTATATCATTTATCCACCAAATATGCTTCAGTCCAAACTGTTGTTGCTAATGTCTAGATACAACGATGACATGAATAGAACTCAGGGAGTGACTGACGCTGTTCTATTTCCTCGCTCCTGTTTGGTTCGTTGGTGTGTCTCTGCAGCCGGGGAACTACAAAAGGACGGTAAAGCGGATTGACGATGGCCACAGGCTGTGCAATGAGCTAGTCACCTGCTTCCAGGAGAGAGCCAAGATAGAAAAGCACTACGCTCTTCAGCTGAGTGACTGGGCCAAAAGGTGGAGGGTTGTTGTGGAGAAAGGTGAGTTTAAATGCTAGCTTTTTATAAAAGAGTGGATATAGCCACCAGTTAGTTTCCATCAGACGTCACCACATTTGGATAGAAATTTTATATATATATATATATATATATATATATATATAAATAAAACACGGGAATTGCAAATGTGACATTTATGATATAAATGGGATATGTTTGGGATTTCTATTTAAATATGACCAAGATGATAATTTAGCTGGCTAAATTTTTTACAAGTTAATATTTTGTTCATCATCTAATAAATTAAGTCATCCATCTTTAATTTGGTAGCAAAGCTCACGATGTTTATGGAAATCCCCATCAAAATATCCACAGGCGAAGCTTCACAACACTGACCTACAATTAATTTTGTAAACATGTAGACAAATGGGGACGAGTGATTTTTATTTAGTGATAACGTGAAGGGGCGCTTTCTCACGTTTATTTAGGGCCCCAGTATGGTACACTGGAGAAGGCTTGGCATGCCTTCATGCAAGCGGCTGACCGACTCAGCGAGCTGCACATGGAGCTGCGGGAGCAGCTGGCGGGTGAGGACAGCGAGAAAGTACGCAGCTGGCAAAAAGAGGCCTTCCACAAGCAAATGATGGGAGGTTTCAGAGAGACGAAGGACGCGGATGATGGCTTCCGCAAAGCTCAGAAGCCCTGGGTCCGTAAGCTGAAGGAGGTGAGGGCGGCCTCAGTAGATTTTCTGACGTTGGTCTGTAGGGCAGTCTGCATCAGTGAGTGGCTGCAGTACACACTAATGGGATTTAATGGAGATGACGTGACTGTAGTGAATACTTGCAAATGGCCAGTGTCTACAAAGTTGTCGTTGAAAGGTTTCTTTTAATAAAAAAAAAAAGCCAGCAACTGTCTACACATCCTCTTAGCAAATGTCACACATGAAGTTGCTTTATGCTACAGTCACACTATGGAAACCTGGAGACTGTGGCGCAGACACAATTATTGTGACAGTGTGACTTGTAGTCTTGTTAAAATATTTGCATGAAAAATGGGGATCTCACAGCCACTTGCCATCTTCACAGTGACCATTGTGCATCAGGACCGAGATAAAATAGTGGAATCAGTCCACTATAAGTTTGGGACTACTGCAGACCCTCATAGACTGGAATTTAGCAATTCCTCTACAAAAAGTGACATAATTGGACTTAAATGCGAAATGGCAAGGTTGTGAATCACTAAAGTAAGTGTTTCTTTTGACTATAGTGTCGGTGAATAAACTTCCCTTCTTCTTTTTCCTTTTATAAGATTGTCGTATAAGATAACACAGTGGTTGAATGCAGCTATTACGTCATAGGTGATTGTATTTGAGGTAATATTATCACAGTTGTTGAATGGATGTGAGTGAGTCTGATATTACATCTGATGCGTCAATGAGGAGAGATGGGTACATTTTTGGAAAAAATTGAAGTTTAGTCTTTACTGAGTTTATAGCAAGTGTTTAACACGTGCGTGTGTCCAGGTGGAGTCAACTAAGAAGAGTTACCATCAGGCCAGGAAAGAGGAGTGGACGGCGGCTAACAGGGAGGCGCACGCCAAGGCTGACCCGACCAAGTCACAAGAGGAAGTTCGCAAATACACAACCCGGGTGGAGCGCTGCAACCAGGACACCGAGAAAGTACGATGCACACACACGTGAACACGTACATATAAACAGAGTCCCATACATAGCTCCTCTTGTACCAGTCTGGGTGTGTCTGACTCCAGAAAAACATACCTGTGTATGTTTTTTAACTTTGAAACATGACCGGACTTGTCTCCTCGACTTTCCACTTGTAACAAACCCAACGGTTGAGGAGTAGCTCCAGGACCCGGAGAGGGAAATGATCAACCAAACAACAAAAAAACGAAGGAAATCCTGAGACGTGTTCATTTAGTACGCACAGCGTTGTCAGGCAGCCAAGGACCTCTTGAGCAATGTTGATCTCAACAAGGAAATGAAATCCAATATCATTACTCATTCACAGCTTGAAGAAAAATACATCCAAAAAAGCCTTCAGTCCTCAATCACTTGTCTCAACCAGTCTCAGCACCCCGTGTTGGTATCTGCTGTGTTTAATCACTGCACACTTTATGTAATCATTAAGATATTTAAATATTTTATTCAGTGGGTTCTTACAAGAGTTCACAGAAGAAGAAGACAGTCTTATTATGGTGGGTTCTAGTCAACAACATGTTATCAGTGTAAATAATACTTACTGGTCAGAGGGCCCGGTGGCGCCAGTGTCCGGCAGCCTCGCCTCTGTCAGTGTGCCCCAGGGTGGCTGTGGCTACAATGTAGCTTGCCATCACCAGTGTATGAATGTGTGCGTGAATGGGTGGATGACTGGATATGTAAAGCGCTTTGGGGTCCTTAGGGACTAGTAAAGCGCTATATAAATACAGGCCATTTACCATTTACCATTTTACTAATGATGGAGAGCTGTTCATACTGTGTGCATAATAAAAAGAAACTCCCAGAATTCAGTTGGTCACTCTTGCACTCTTGACATTAAGTATTATTCAAAGTCTCTTAGATAAATCCGGAAATATGGAAAAGTTGAGTTCTTTTGTCACTTTGAATATTTTTTTATTACAGGAGAGGTAAACACCCTGTTCAGTTGTTCTTGTAGTTTGCTTTAGGATTTTAATTCATCTGAACTACACTGGAAGCTGATTTAAATCCATAAATAAAATAATGTTAGATAAAATAAATTCACTTAAATGATTGAACAAAAAATGCAATTCTGAATAAAGCTTGAAATGTCTCATTATTAAAATAGAATAAAACTACAACGAGCTTTATAGCTGCTTTCCAAAGGTTTTTATTCTGCTCTTTGGAACAGACAGTCTTGCACATATACTCGACGCATGCAAGACACATGCACCTGAGTAAGACCATGAAGTGTAATTGAAATGGTGCATTTAACAAAACACACATTGGTGTACTACTACGCAGTAGCTCAGTGTGTGTGTGTTTACGGCAGGTAAAGGAGCGCTACTCCAAGGCCTTGGAGGAGCTGAACCGCTGTAACCCCCGCTACATGGAGGACATGGAGCAGGTGTTCGACTTAACTCAGGAGGCTGAGCGCAAGAGGCTGTGTTTCTTTAAAGATGTCCTGCTCGACATCCATACACACCTTGACCTATCCTCCAAAGACAGGTAAGGAAAAATCCACATGCTTGTATTTATTTATCCAAAATTACGTGGATCACGAATCAAGCGATCCATGACTCACAGCGAAGGCATGCAGAGCTGCGAAGGCACGGATGTCGGTCTGAACATGTGCGTATGTACACAGGGGTTAATGGAAAACTCTTGCTGTTGTCCATTAACTGTTGACCTCATATTTTATTTAAACAAGCAACTTTACCAATAATAGTTACCATGGCAAAGTCCAGCCAACTCTGTCCAAATATTGAGCAAATTAACCCTTGAAGAAACTGCTCTTTTGAAGAGCAGTTTCTCACTGTGTGAACATATTTTTTTTAAACTCTGAGAGACTTCCTCTGGTATCCATGTATTTATTCCAGAGCACCGATATATATGTGTATATAAAACATTACTTAAGAAAGATTTGAGGAGTCGGAATGATCAAATAAAAAGCCTGAACACGTGTTTCTTTAGTCCCACAGTGAGCATGTTTCCTGCAGCTACAATAAATATGAAATTGTATAATATCATATAACTCACAGCCTTTACAGTATGCTTTCATTTAAGCCTTTAGTGTTATGTCAGTTAGAGGCTGCAAGACCACGTTGGATGATGAGTTAATTTATAAAGGACCAATGGGAATACTTTTTCACCCACCTCCTCCATGTGACACTAGTCAATAAGGCTTTAAACATGGTGGGATAATATTCAACTACTGGTGCAAAATGTGTGTTCACTAGATGGTTCGTCCTGGCACATATTACAGAGAGTGGAAAGAAAATCCCCCCAAAAAACCATGTTCCATCTCTGTGATAAGTTTGAGATCCTTTAAAAAAAAATAAATTAAAAAACACTTTGAGAGTGTGTCGGGGGGGGGAAGCTGCCCTCTTACCAGCTGTTCCTTTGGAAGATTGGATGTAGATGAAGAGATGTTGTTGTTGTTGTTTTTTTTCTTTCTTCATGTTATATCTGAGCGTATACAAACCAGCTCAGTGCTGATGAAGCTGATTAGAAAGTATGCAGCGTGTCTTATCTCAAATCCCACCTTTAAATGACGGCTCTAGGGTTCTCGATGCCCAGCCCTGTGAGTAAACAGGACCTATCAGGAACCTGCTACTGTAAATTCAAAATGCACTATGTCGATTTTAATTCTCTCCATGTTCAACCAGCAAGTACAGTCTGTTGTTTTCTTTGACAACTGCTTCCTGCTTCAATAAGTAATCTTTTATGACTTTAGAAGATCCCCAACTTGGAAACCTGTCTTTTCCTGATGAATAGAATTCAACTTTATTGTCATTGCACATGCACAGGTACAGGGCAACGAAATGCAGTTTGCATCCATCCAGAAGTGCTTGGATGCAAACTGCATTTCGTTGCCCTGTACCTGTGCAGCATGAAGCAGGGTTAATGACAAGCGTCCCTAAGCATGCGTTACAGGGTGCAAAGTCAGATGAAAGATGGTCTGCAGATTGATGACAGAGTGTCAATCAATGTGATTATTCACTCCCTTTCTGTCCATTAGCTTCAAAGCCTTGTACCAGGACCTGGGCCAGACCATTCGTGCAGCCAACGAAACTGAAGACCTCAGATGGTGGAGGAACACCCACGGACCGGGCATGAGCATGAACTGGCCCCAGTTTGAGGTGTGAAAACACAAACTCTGTTCACCCTGTCGCGCATGAATTATTTTGTTTTGCTTTGTTTTTTTCTGTGCAGTCATCTACATCTGTGTGTGTGTTATCCGTGCTGTGGGAACGTAAATCTGTTGAAACGGTCACATTCAACAGGACTTGACCTCAGTTTGGTTAAATACTCATTATGTAAATATTGTAAATCATTAACTTTGAGTTTGAGGACTCCATTTAAAGTTGAGGAAATGATTCTTTTAGGGGTTGTTAAAGGACATTGTAGTGATTTGCATTGAATTCCCGAGGAGATGGAAACATGACTCTGTGTGTTTTAGGGGACGGACTGAATATTAAGCAGGGTTCCAGTGAAAGCCTCATTTTGTGACTGAAAGCTCTGAGTGGGGTTAGGAATGTCGAACACACACACACACACACACACACACACACACACACACACACACACACACACACACACACACAAACACAGATTAGTTGCTAGTGGAATGGAACTTGCAGACAGGACCAATAAATACAAATATTTACATATGGAAAAACACAAACAACAGTGCAAATGATTGTTGTGCAGGAATTCAGATTAGAGTCTCAGGATTCTGTAGTCTGCTTAGCATATGTGACAAAATTGGTTTTTTTTGTTTGTTTGTTTGTTTGTTTGTTTGTTTGTTTGTTTTAATGAAACTACTGTTTCATGTAAATTCTTTTTCAAAAAACAAGAATAACCTAAAGGAAACTTTCTGAGTTTTTGTTTAATTTGGACAGCCAGGGTTACATGTCCAAAACTTTCTCCATGGTCCTGGGATTTTGGCGTGAATTAAAGAAACTACTACGTACACTGTGTTTTCCCAGGCATGTTGTTTTTTCCCTTGGGATACTGTAATATTCTGCATACGTCCATAATAGTTACATTGTAAGAAAGGTAGATTAGCGTATTCTACAATACCCTAATTATAGAATATGATTCTTATCATACAAAGGAGAACCATCGTTTGGAGTATTTTAGTGGAAATGAAACAGTTACTCATTATTCCTTTCTTTTAAAAATAGAGTATACACCAATAAGACATAAAATTGTGTGGGTCCTTTTTTTTTTCTGCCAAAGTAGCCCTGAATGCGAGCAGTGGTATCTGCACCAAGATGTTAGTAACAGATCCTGTTGTCCTGTAAGTTTTGAGGTTAGCCTCCATGGATCGTATAGTTTTGTCCAGCACATCCCACAGATCACCAATGGGACTGAGATCTGGGGAATTTGGAGGCCAAGTAAACACCTTAAACTCATTGTTGTGCTTCTCAAACCATTCCTGAACCATTTTTGCTTTGTGGCAGAGTGCAGTATCCTGCTGAAAGAAGCCATCAGGGAATATTGTTTCCATAAAAGGCTGTAGATGCTCTGCAGCAATGCTTAGGTAGGTGGTACATGTGAAAGTAACATCCTTATGGATGGCAGGACCCAAGGTTTCCCAGCAGAACATTGTCCAAAGCATCACACTGCCTCTGCCAGCTTGCCTTCTTCACATACTGAATCCTGGTGCCAGGTGTTTCTCAGAACGAACATTAACTTTTGTGTCTTGGATTAGACCACATGGGCCAACCTTCCGGTCATACATCCATCCACCACTGTTTCTTTCTTGGACCACTTTTGATGGATACTAACCCCTGAAGACTGAGAACACACCATAAGAGCTGCAGTTTTGGAGACGCTGACCCAGCCATCACAATTTAGTCCTTCTCAAACTCACTCAAATCCTTGTCCATTTTTCTTCTAACACTCAACTTTGAGGAAAAAATATTCACTTGTTCCCTAAAGTATCCCACCCACCAACAGGTGCCATGGTAAAGAGATAACCACTGTGATTCACTTCACCTGTCTTTGCTTGTAATGTTTTGTCTGATCGGTGTAAATTGTTTTTTCTTTCTTTGAAAACTGACAGCTGTTACCAGTTTTAGCAGTATTGTTAGAAGTGTAATTATTTTTAGGTACTGCAATATGCATTGCAAATTTAGGAGTGTAGGGCAACTGCACTTGAAGTCGGTAGTCTGTATGATGAAGTGCTCGCCAAGTTTGGTTTCAAGAAGTCTTTTTATCTCACTGTTTAAAACACAAAAGAGAGAAACAGTGACTTCTTACATGTCTCCAGAATGTTACATATTGCGTACTTCCCCACCGTCTTTGCTGTCTGCTCCTGAGTCACACATTGTAAATGTTGTACTGTCCTATTTTCTCTCTGTGCGTGGTTCGGCAGAGCCTCTTCTTACATTATCTGGATTCTTGCCTCTCATCCTCCACCTTTATTTCTGGCAGCCGCACACTGCCCCGCTATGTTTACTGTTCCAGACCTGGAGCTTTGAATTTCAAATTATAGAAAAGACTCTACATGTAACATGCGAACAACACAGTTACTTAAAGTCTGACAGATTTTTGGATGATCTCAAATCCATTTGTTTGATCAAACATACTTGAGCTTTTCTCTGAAGTATGTTTTTTGTTTTGGTTAATAAAAACTGAAGCATCGTTACTGCTTTAGTAGAGACGTTCGAGTGGTAGCACACAGCTGAAGATGGTTTAGTCTGAGAGCTGCCAGAGCTGGTAATTGTAAAGTACATCGGCTGTGCTGCTTGACATCTGCTGGACGTCTGTCTGTCCTGGTGGAGGGATCTCTCCACTTTCCTTATATAGATTTGTTTTTCTCAGTTCCTGGGTTTTGCACACATGCACATTTTCAGCGTTATCAATGAGTCTGATCTTTGGATTCTGCATTTTAAGATTATTAAGTTAACATTATTGCAGTGATGACAAAGTAAACACTTTTTTTTTTTTTTACCTTCCTCAGTTATTCTTTGCAAAAAGTAAGCAAGTGGAAGATCCTGGCAGGGATAAGTGTCTTTTCTGTCCTCTGAGGAATCTCCTGGCATTCCCACAGTGCCGCTGACATGCAAACAGAGAGCCTTTGTCCCAACACACACACACATGTCTGAACTTGCGAGGACTTTCAGTTAACTATATTCATTCATAACTCCAAGCACGATTCCCCCACTGCGTAAAGATCAGGCGAGGAGGAGCTGTACGATGGCCTCACTTGACGGGAAACTTATACACAGCACTTGTCAAGAAGTCTAATTATATCTGTGGTATCTCACTGAACACACACCTCCTGCTGATCAAGGTTCCTCTGAAGAGAGCTAATACTAACAAGTCTATCCCCAGCTGCCTACGCCTGCAAGCAGCACCCTGCTATTACATGATGGTGCGTTAGGTCTGGGTGTGATCTAAAGATTGACAGGGCTTCATGTTGAAACTTATGAATTGTTTTTTTTTTTGTTTTGTTTTTTTAAAAGAGTGCGCTTTGTTCAGATTTGGTTTCACATTTAAAACTCTCAGGTGTTTTGTGTTGCGATTTTATTTTCATATAGGTTTGTGTCTCTATGTTGTTTTCATTGTTCTTGCTCATTTATATTCGATTGTAAAACTACAATATATAATTGTCTGTATTTTAAAACTTGGGTGATAAGTGTTAAGAACATGACATCAACACTAATGAGGCACTTCTGGACTTCAAAGACAATCATTTTTTTAAATCTCTTAGGTCCATTAAAAATCTGAGAGTCTCTGATACGGCATCTTTAATATGAATATTTGTCAGTTTCAGCAGCTCTCTGATTCCCTTTGAGTTTAGCACTGTGGGTTTGACAAAAGAAGAGATCTGAAGATAACGCCTTATGTTCTTTAGCAGTTTTTGAATTGAAACGGTCAACAACGTGCAACAATGACAAGTAGTACCATGTAATGTCAAAAATTTGCTGCATCTTTGGTAACGTTATCAGTGACACAAAGCACCGGTGCTGTTGTTGTATCCTTCCACGGATCTTTAGCTGTTATTTGACGCGCTTCTTACAGAATCTGAAGAGAAACGCATTTTGGATGAAGTCTTAACAAGTGTTGTAACACACAGCACTGCTGATCTCGTCTATGTCTTTGGTTTGACTTTGCAAAACCAAACCATTTGCATATCCGTGCATCCATAACACTGCAGTGTAGCACATTTTCTTTCATTTAAATCATCATCCTTTCTTTAACTGAATGCAACAGCAGCATACTTTAAAGGCCTAGCTCTGGCTTTTGTTGACTCCCGTGGATGCATCAACAGAGTGTTCATTAAACTTGTGTCACTTATGTCGACATAAACTGATAAAGAGACAAAGACCTGAGTCAGTGTAAGCTTAAGTAAATGACTGTGTGTCTGTGTGCAGGAGTGGTCTCCAGAGGCAAGTCGCTCCATCAGCAAGAGGATGCACAGTGGAAACTCTGAGGAGAACGTGGTGACCCTCACCAACATCGTCTCCTCTGCTGGAGATGATGTCCCACCGAGTCCCATTACCCTGGACACCAGCAGGTAGGAGGACACTGTGGACATGATGTTGGAGTTTATGTTATCATAAACTCCAACATCTGTGCTCTGTTGAGAAGCTATCTGTGGAGATAATTGCGCTTGACTCACAAAGCAGTATACGTAATCTTTTAACCTCCTATAGTCGAAATGTCTACTCACAGACCATAAAGCTGAACCTGGTGGTGAGGTGAATCCATGAAATGGGAGTGAAATATTCCATGTGAAAAAAAGGCCAAGTACAGCATGCACTTAGCAGTTGCTGACTAACCAATAAATTATTATTGGTATGACCTCTGACGGAATCAATACTCCGTTTTTTTCTTTTTTTCAAACTTTGCAACAAATAAACCTCAGAGATGACAGGAAACAATTTGGCTTTATGAAAACTATCCATGATACAGGAGACTTGGTTAAAAATCAAATGTGCAGGTTCTGATGGCCAAATACGATAATAGCAGTGGTAATATTTCTAAAATATGATTTTTGGGATGTGCTTTATATGTTGTGCTTTCAATTTTTTTCCCCCAATATCTCCAAATCTCAACCACAGTTGCTTCAAAGTGCTTTATATTGTAAAGACCCTTCAATAACATAGAAAAAAACCCAACAATCAGCTGACCCTGATGAGCAAGCACTTGGCAACAGTAGGAAGGAAAAACTTCCTTTGTAACAGTATGAAACCTCTGGCAAAACCAGGGACTAGTTAAGTAGTTCTTGCTTTTCATTTTTCTACTAAATAGCTGCAGATACTAGGGCTGGGCTGTATCATACCGTTCACGGTAATACCGGTGTAATTTTGGGCAACGATAGGAAAATGACATATCGCGATAGAATATGGGTAAAACGCGCATGCGCACTGCCTTTGTTTACATACGCACATGGCAGCGACGCAGAACGAGAAAAGCGAAAGTGGATCGTTGAATGAAACGGATGAACCAGAACTGGTTTGTAAAAATGCTGCAAGTTCAGTGGTGTGGAACTGGTTTGGCTTGCGTCTGTCAGATACACAACAAAGCACTATTTTTGGTAGCGCATGCTAGCGGGCCGTCGTTATTACCGTGTTGTTTGGAAAATACGGCACACTTAAAATCAATCCTTTGATTTTTCTGAAAATCGACAGTGCCCCTTATAATCCCGTGTGCCTTATGTATGAATTCTGGTTGTGTTTACTGACCTCGAAATGATTTTATGTACACGGCGCTCGAAAATCTGTCAAATGTTTTAGTACGAAGCCGCACTGCTTGATGGATTGTCGGAGCATTACGGCTATCGTAGGCAGGAGCCTCGCAGAGTGATACGTACTGTGCTTCAACATAATATTACCGTATTGTGTGTGTATAACCTCTTTTTAAGTTTTGTGGATATTATACATGGTTATGCTGAGGATATGTCGGCCAGTTTCCACTGGAAATGCCTTTTGGTTAAACTGTCAGCAAGGAATTTGCATTTGCACTGTTACATTTTTATATAACTTTAATGCACATAAAAAACAGCTGCTTGTTTAAGTGAAAATACATTGATGGGGTTTTTTGCACTAATAAAGTTGTGGAGTTGTAAAGTATTTTGTCTAGTGTCAATTATATCGTCAGTTATATCGTTATCGCAAATTTGATAAATATTTTTGGTCATATCGCCCTGCTCTAGCAGATACATTTCCACATCTGCCCTGTCTGCAGGAGTCCCCACATGAGAGGGATTGTAATCACTTCTGTGATCTGACCACATGTGCAGCGAAGTGCAAATTAAGTGTCTTAAATTTCATTTGCCGTTTACCTCGCTACACGTGCTTGCAACTGGAACAAAATAACAATACAGTAATTTTTTAGAGATTTTCCACCTGAACATAAAGAGCTTGTGTTTGCTGTGCACATGCACATGAATACACAGCATCAATACATAACAAACACACTTTCTTGATTTTTTTTTTTTTTTTTTAAGAAAATTTTAAAGAGAGAGCTGTGCTTGTGGGTTTTGTGAAGTTTTAAAATGGAATGTTGTGGGCTGTTGATTGCAGACTAAACACAAGACTACAATTATATCTCTCACAGGTGTGTGTGTGTGTGTGTGTGTGTGTGTGTGTGTGTGTGTGTGTGTGTGTGTGTGTGTGTGTGTGTGTGTGTCTCAGAGACGGAGGTAGAAGACAGCATGTGGTTTACTTTCCTTGTTACCTTGTAGTCACCCTGAGGAGTTAGCATCCTGTACATAGATGGCACTCTTAATTAGTAGCTAGAACTGTGTGTGTGTGTGCGCGCGTGCATACACGTGTATTGCTCATGTTGCGAGGACATAAATGTGGTTTTTTTAATACAGTCACATAGTGGGGACATGCAACCCCGACCTCACCCACCGTTTGGGGACAGGTCAACATGTAAAGCAATACAGTTAGGAGTGAATGCTTGGCCTTGGAAATTCATTTAAGTTGGTGTGATGTCTCAAAGGTGGAAACATGACGGTGTGAATGTCACAGGACAGCCATGTTTCCTTAAAAGAATTGCAAACCTGCTCATCTTTATGTACTCCATAATGGGTTTGTTTGTTTGTTTGTTTGTTTTTTGAAAAAGAAAAAGCGAGAAAGAGAGAAAAGAAAAATCAATATCAGTGCTACAAATCTAGTTGGACTACAGTACCACATATATGTATTTTTTGGTGTCTTAAGACAAGCATAAAGAGATTTTTTTTTTTTTTAATTAACAGGGAAGGCTCCTAACCACTTTGCTTTGAGCTCTGTTCTTTCCAGTGTAGCTGTTATTGCTGCTGTCATTTGAAGGGATGTAGTACAGAGCAACAAAGAGGGAAGTAAGAGTCACAATTTTTTTATTTATTTTTAGCCATCCTTCCCACTTTCTAATAATAACACTGGTGTAATGTCCATTTGGTAAGCTGAGACATCACTGGACTAGATAGTTGGGTATTCTACAAGTCTACATGTGTGTGCGGGCGTGTGTGTTTCTATAACATACATACATTTTACATCTGTATGTGGTGCTTTCCAAGCTCAGACTTCTGTGAGCCTGACATTTCCACGCGCTACTCTTCCCTTTATATCCGTGATGATAAAAGCGGTGTTTCCCAGGAGATGCCGTGCAGCTGAAACACCTCAATTCAGTCATGTGATGTAAGCCAGGAAAATGGGGAAACTCAAAATGGGAAAATTTGCCTATTACCAACTTATGTCTGTGGAAATGTTCGTGTTATTTTTGGCAAATGGAAAAGTTCACACTTGACTTTTAACGCCTCTATCCCTCTTCTCTCACAGGGTGAAAGATTATTCATCAGACTGGTCAGATGATGAAAGTCCAAAGAAGGTGGCGGTAAATGGCGTCGGGGAGGAGGAAGAAGAGCAGGTAGAGGGAGTGCGAGTCAAAGCACTCTATGATTACACGGGCCAGGAAGCCGATGAGCTCAGCTTTAAAGCAGGTATTAACCCCTACTAATGCTTTTTAGTTGGAAGGCATCACAGAGAAGAGTGCTGGTATTTACATTTTTTATTTAATTAAAAGTTTAGTTTTTCTGCCTTGATGCCTCATCTTAAGAACTACGTACATACTCGTGTCAAACATGTTGTTCCAGACAAGATGTTTGACACTGATCCTCAAATGCAGTAAGAGTGTAATACAGAGTGGTGCATAAACACACACACATTACATCTTACTTTTTTTTGAACTGATAAAACTAATGCATGAACGACTCCATCTAAGTTTCCACAGAAAGAAGTATACATGCATACTTCTCTGAGCATAAGAGGGTAGATTTGTGCTACTCTCTTCCATGTTTCTGTGGCTTCAGTTGGATCGTCATTACAAAAGTTGTATGTACAAAGCTTGCTGAAAGCACTCACATATCTCTGGATACTGGAAATGAAAACATTCAGGCTTTTGTTTGTTTGTTGTTTTTTTTAAATTAGACTTAATGAACCCCACAGGAATGCTTTTATTTTGTAGAACAATTACCTTTTCCAGCTTTCACGTGAAAATAAAACGCTCAGCTTTTTGCCTACATGCATCTAAATATTAACAGTGCATTACTGTAGCTTTTCAGTGACTAATCTGGTTGTAATTGTAAGGTCTGGTAAGCTGAGTAAAGCCAAATGCCCAAAAAAGAAACGACTAATGTAAATGAAGAGGAAATAAAATAATGAATATCAAAATATTGAGTTGATAGTTAATGGATGTGTGCTTCTGTTTGTTTGATTTGTTTTAAGTTAATTGATTTGAAAGGAATACTTCAGGGTCAGTCACGCAGTGACGCAGGAAGTGGTCGAAAAATATCACCAGACCAGTTGGCAAGTAAAAGGTGCTTGTTGTTGCTAGATGAAACTAGCTGTAAAAAGGCATACAGTGCTACAGCAAAAATCTCCTTGTCATTTCTTTGGCCGGTAGCAGGTTGCTACTGTCATTAGTCATTTGTATGGGAGATGCCAACCACTCTTCCCAGCAGCTATGAAACTGAAGAGTGTGCTGCTAACTGGGAATGGAGAACATTCACCTTCAAAGTAAAAAGTTCTGCCTTTTCAAACATGTAGTTTCAGCAGTAAAGTCCAACCTTTACTTTGAAGGGAAATGTTTTCTGCCAACCTGCCTACTCGTTGGCAAATACATTTTTCCTTAGTGACCAGAAGTTGTCGGAGGGGTTGCAACTGCTCTCTAGGTCAATTTGACTGAGGCTACCTGTGTGTACCGTGTATCCTCAGGGGCTGAACATTAATTATTTTTATATTTAAAGCAACTCCACAGAAAATGTTTGGGAGAAAGCCTCACAGCGGGGGTGTAACAAATCTTGCTGCGTCCCTCCTCCTCTTTACACTCCTCGCAGTCAAGAGGGAAGAAGCTGCTGTATACCAGACAAATGGTACTCCGTTTAGTATAGAGGATAAATAATGGACATAATCAAAAGAAAGAAGGGGACGGACAGAAAGACCCCCAAAATTAATATGTAGGTATATAATATATCTCCAAAATCTGAACATGAATTCACTGGAAAATTCCTAAACTTAAAAGAAAATCGTGTACTGCAAGTTGACATTGAATAAGAAACATAAGAAATTTACAAATCTGTAAAGCACATCTGCAAATATTTGGAGGACAAACACAAAAAGTTTCTTTTCTTTCTTTTTTTTTCTTCTTCTTTTTTTTATTTTGGTCTTTTCCAGTGGCAAAACCCCCCCACATTCTGCTGCAGGTGCAGAAATGAGAAAAATTGAGATGAAGCTTAACGTGTTGTTAAACATAACAGAGGTTTAAAGCTGCTGTGGTGTATAGTAACTCTCACCAAGCTAACGGGACTTGATGGGACCACTGAGCTTAACCCAGCTCAGCTCAGCTGTGTAGGGAGGTTTTTATTTCCATGAAAGATTCGTCCCCAACTTTTGGGGGAGTCAGAGCCAGCCTGTTTGTATCGCACAAGCGAACTTCCAAGAGCTTTTTACTGAACACATTACAACATACAATAAAGTGAAAAAATACACAAAACCTTTAAATTCCATTAGAAGGCACAATTACAGAAAATTGATGTGCTGGGGAAAGATCCTGCATTACTGCACTTCTGTAAATCCTGTACTGTAGATCAGAATCACAGCTGTGGAGAGCCATAAGGGTCTTCACAGCTGTGGAAACGGGAGATTTTACCTTCCTGTTTTTAACTTGTTTTAAACAGGAGGCCAAAGTCTTGCGTTTTGCTTGTATTTTGCAGGCGTATCCAGTCAGTATCCAATTATTCATTTAAATGAACGTGACTAAAGCCAAACTCATCCTTCCAGGGGAGGAGCTACTGAAGCTGGGAGAAGAGGACGAGCAGGGTTGGTGTAAAGGACAGCTGAGCAATGGCCAGATTGGCCTCTACCCTGCCAACTACGTGCATGTCATTGCATCCTGATGGCCCCCCCTCTATGGCCACCCAATAGCAACGCTGCAATCAAGATACCAGGACTAATTAAAAGGTGTTAGTGCTGAACAGTAGACCCACCTTTTTTGAAAACAGCCTGGGTTGTTTTGTTTTTTTTGTTGCTGACTGTAAAAAAAAAAAAAATGTAAGCATGTTTTTGTAAATTCAACCAGTGCAAAAGTTTCCTTATTCGTGATGGATTGTTCAATCAACAAGACGTCAGCGGCACAGTCGATTGGTAGAAGCTTTAGCTTCAGGCAGGGAAGCATCCAGAGGCTTGCCAAACAAACTGTAAACATGCACGTTTGTTCTGTCATATCTTTGTTTTCTAAGAGGATGTTTTATTGGACAACACACGTTTAGTCCAAAAAGAATAAGAATGGGTGGAGATGAGGTGAGCAGCAGCCATTACAGCTGGCTCACTCACAAGATTTCAGTGTAGGTTTTGAGTTTTCTTGGATCCAGCATCCAGGGGCCATTACCAGGAACTCCACAGCTTTCTCTGCTCAGCTGTGGTGACTGCTGCTGTTTCAAATGATAAAACCCAGTTAAACACTGACTGTGCCTTAGTCGATAAGGTCTGAAATGTACAGCGCCACCCTACTGTCTGACTGAATTGCACCCTGGATATGTGCAGCACCGCGCTACTCTGATCGCGGAATTACAGCCTGCAAATGCGTGACGCTGCCCGGCTTTCTGAGTGAGAGATTACAGCTGTCTGCTGTATAATGGGCTCATGGCCTCCTTCTAAACACGGAAAAAACCTTTAAAACTTCGGGTGCATTACAGTAAATTTAATTATGCAGGCAGCACTTGATTGGCTTTCATTTAGCTTGATATTTGTGGGCTTTGGTTACTTTTTAGACACTTTTTTTTTAATGTGACAGCTGGGGGTTTTTTTGTTTTTTGTTTGTTTTTTTCATATTAAGTCACGCGAGTTTGCAGCTAAACAGTTGCTCCCCCCCAATTAATCATTAGACAGATCAAAGCAGTAATGTCGACTGTTACCTCTGGGTCTTTTTAATCTATACATGTTTTTTTGTTGCTAGTCTGATTTGCTATGCTGGGATCACAATGCAAAATCATCTCAGACACATAAAAACAAAAAAGTAATAAGTTAATTTTTTTTTTTTTTTTTTTTTATTATGTCAGGTTTGGGGGTTTTTCATGTTTAAATTTGTGTCTTACATACAAGGAAGTCTTTTCTTTCCCTGTTAATCTTATCCCTGCTACAGCTAACCCACATAGATGCTAAAATAGAAGATATTAGATCTACTACAATGGTCTGTGGATTCTTTCTTTTTCTTTCCATAATTGTAACATATACATATACAGTACTTACAGGGAGAAGCAACAATAAAAAGCTTTCTACAGCTGAATGTTTCACAGAACATCTTTTGTGCTCATCAAAAGGGTAAATGCTCATATTATAGCTTAAAGCTCCCAAATATCAGAACTCCAGTATCTCAGAGTATTGCATTTCCATTTTGAGTATCTTATCACCGGCACAAGGAGGGTAAGCCACAGAAGGTCATTGCTGAGAAGGCTGGCTGTTTGGAGTGCTGTGTCAAATCATGTTAATGGGAAACTGAGTGGAAGGGAACAATGTAGGAAAAGAAAACTGGGATGAAACGCCAGTTTTGGGGAGATTTCCCATTTTCACAAGTTGGTTCTTCAGCAGCACATACTGCTGAACCTCTTGTTGCTTTGGCTGGAAACATGCAAATACAATTCAGCACAGGGAAGCATCAGCTTGTGTCTTCATACATCTTATACAATGAAACTAGAACACAAACTGCTGTCCCTGTTGTCATGACAACACTAAGCTTTGCATGTAAAATCCTGCAAATCGGTCTGCGTGTATGACTTTAAAAAAATACTCTTTTGATCTGAAACTTCTGCTTTACCCTTTACAGCCACTGGAGCATTATGTGGTTCCCTCCATGGATGATGTTTTCATTGTTTAATGCAGTCACCTGGAGCCCCAGACAAACCTTCCAGAGCAGAGTTATCAGGAATAATCACCAGTAATTAGGTAAAAAAAAAAAATCTAATTCTACGCTTTATGAAATACACTTTATTCACCAGTCTCTAAACATCAAAGCAACCTTAAAATTACAGGCATTCAAAATCTACAGGAAAAAGAATTCCACAAAGGCACAGACAATAGTTAGCAACAGCCTTGTTAAAGGTTATATTAATAAAGGCTAAAGCTAATCTTTGCTACAATATAATCTTCCAGAAACAAATGCATGAGCAGAAACAGTCCTTGCCACACAAGCTGGAGTGTCGCCCTTACGACAGGCCTCGCTTCTTGGCAGTCAGACTGCGATGCCCTCCTCTCATTCAGTGAAGCTGCAGCAGGACAGTGCCAGATAAGTGCACATAAACACATCCAAGATCCAAAACCTGGACATAAATGTTGAAAATTAAAAAAAAAAAAATCCTGTGTAACCCATTTTCATTTCTAACCTGTCAAATATGCCACGATAAAAGAAGTGTTCAAATTAAATTCAAAGTACATTTAGGAGTACTGTAATGATGTCTTTTTTCTGTGGCTCACGTGAAGATGAAACATAAGTAGGATGCTGTAGAGTAGGGGTGGGGGAACTCCAGCTTCAAGGCCCGGTGTCCTGCAGGTTTTAGATGTGTCCTTGATCCAACACAGCTAATTTAAATGACTAAATTATCTCTTCAACATGTCTTGCAGTTCTCCAGAGACCTGGTAATGAACTAATCATTTGATTCAGGTGTGTTGACCCACAGTGATATCTAAAACCCGTAGGACACCGGCCCTCGAGGCCTGGAGTTCCTAACCCCTGCTGTACAGCATCCTGCAATGACTCATGACTGTTGTTGAGCTGGCTGTCACTCGGTGCTCACTTACTTAGCTACACCTGTTCAGCTGTTTAACACAAATATGTAATCAGTCAACCACATGTGACATGGCTGTGGGAGTGGGTTAACACTGAGGTGGGGTGGTTAGCGCCATCGCTTTACGGCAAATAGGTCCTGGGCTCCCTTTAAGTACTACACTTATGTGTAGGTTAGTGATTTTACTTTGGTTGTCTGTGCGAATGATTGACTTCCTTCCTGAAACAGATTGGCAAACTTGACAGGCTGTATCCCCATTACAGTTGGGATAGGTTTTTAGCCGAGCTGGAAGCAGAAGAGAGTGGGCACTTGGACCAACATCTCTAAAGATGTTTCCAGAGCCTTGTTCAATCAATGCCACAATTAAGGCTGAAGGCAAAAGGGGTTCCAACTTGGTACTCAAATGTACTATCCTCACGAATACAGCAGGGACCTATTTTTATTTGCTTTCACTTCTTGCCAGTCGGACTGCAAAGCACTTGATGCAGTGCTAGTGAAGTGGCTTGTGAGTGGTAAACTGGCACATCTTCAAAGGTCTCTGTGAAATGGCTTGTTGCCCTCTCCCTCTCTCTCTCTGCTCTTTAGAAGCAGAAGGATCAGCTCCAACAGTTGACACTGGATGTCAACTGTTGGAGGATGAGCAAGGATGACCCTCTCTCTGCTGCGTCACAGCAGTCAGCTTCTGCAGAGGCACGAGGACGCTTCTGTGTCAGTAAACATTCGTCTGAGTAATGCCTAGTACTGAAAAGTTACAAATAAACAGATTTTTACTTTAAACTACATGTAATAAATTTTTATTCTTGGGCAGCAGTGACCGACATTTCATGTACGGCTCTTGCTGTAGGCATAATGAGTGATAAACCACCAGTGGGTTAGGCCACAGAGGACATGTTTATCTTTGGTCTTCATTCACTCACATTCAATTCAAATCTATTTATACACCACCAAATCACAACAGTCACTTCAAGATGCTTTATATTGTAAGGTTAACAACCCTACAATAAAAAAACAAACAACCCAACAATCATACCACCCATTATGAGAAAGCACTTTGGCGAAAGTGGGAAGGAAAAACTCCCTTTTATCAGGAAGAAACCTCCGACATAACCAGGTTCAAGGAGGGGCTGTCATCTGTCATAAACAACTGAGGGTAGGGGAAGAGAGACAGGACAAAAGACCCACTGTGGAAATGCAGTGTGGTGTAGATAAAGACATAAAGCATGTTTCTGAGCCTTTTGGAACGTGCAGGCTTCTTCAGCTGTGACTGTGTGCTTCCTGTCTGACAGACGCCAGGTGGTCAGACTGGGCAGCATCACCTCATCCCCCATCACACTGAACACTGGTGCTCCACAGGGGTGTGTACTGAGCCCTCTCCTGTACTCACTCTACACCTACGACTGCACAGCCACTAACAGCTCCAACATCATTGTGAAGTTTGCGGACGACACTACAGTGGTGGGTCTTATCACCAACGGTGATGAGACGGCTTACAGGGAGGAGGTCAGCGCCCTGACCCACTGGTGTCAAGACAACCATCTCACCCTCAACGTCGCAAAGACAAAGGAGTTGATAGTGGACTTCCGGAGGTGCAGAGAAGTACACACCCCCATCACCATCAACGGCGCTGCTGTGGAGAGAGTGAGCAGCTTCCGGTTCCTTGGTGTACATCTGGCTGAGGATCTTACGTGGTCAGTACACACAAACAAAACAGTGAAGAAGGCGCAGCAGCGCCTCTTCTTTCTCAGGAGACTGAAAAGATTCGGCATGAGCCCCCGCATCCTCAGGACCTTCTATCACTGTGCCATTGAGAGCATCCTCACTGGATGCATCACCACCTGGTATGGCAACAGCACCGCCTACAACTGCAAAGCTCTCCAGCGAGTAGTGCGGTGCTCTGAACGGATAATTGGAGGTGAGCTTCCCTCCCTCCAAGACATCTACAGGAAGCGCTGCCTGAGGAAAGCGGGGAGGATCATCAAGGACTCCAGTCACCCCAGCCATAAACTGTTCAGACTACTTCCATCAGGAAGGAGGTTCTGCAGCATCCGGTCCCGTACCAGCAGACTGAGAGACAGCTTCTTCCATCCAGGCCATCAGACTGCTGAACACGTCATAGACACCTCAGCTTCACTACTGGAACTTCAACATTATGCACTCCACACTGTATATAAATGCCACTTGTTTTGCACATATTCAACTCTGTATATTTTATATATTTTATTATTATTATTATTATTTTTATTTTTTTTTTTTTACTATTTAATTTGTAAAAATGTGTATCACACACACACACACACACACACACACACACACACACACACCGTAGGAAAATATTTAGTATACACATCCAGAAATGCATACACTATTATATATTGTACATATATTTATTAGTTTCAGGTTGGCCATTCTTGTATTTTGCTCGTTTGTGTTGTTGTGTTTGCACATCTCTGTTGCTTGTGGGGCTCGCACACAAGAATTTCACTCGCATGTGCTGTGCCAGTGTGCCTGCACATGTGATGTGACAATAAAAGTGATTTGATTTGATTTGATTTGTGTTAAACACAAAACATATAAGAGCTGTAACTTATTTGGTCTTAAAAAGGGACTCTGTCTGAGGCAAGGATATGAAAATCTGCACACATTTTTATTAAATCAACAAATTTTATCTGTACAGCAAAATCAAATCTCACAATGATAGATGTTACATTTTCATACTACATGGCATATTCCAAGAAGAACAAAACTGCACAGCGATGAAATTTGTCCACATGGAGACTTCCGTACAAAACTGGTTTTGATAGCGGTTTTTAGTTTTCTGTCAAATCTCTTATTCAACATCTGACTTCAGACAGACACAGAAACAAAAAGGTTGTTGAGAAACGCTCAAAGCAGCGATCTCCTACCAAAAGATATTTTTCCCATTTCTCAGAGTGTGTTCACTTTTTGTTCATGAGCAGAAATCAGAAATATTCATCTTTGTGACTGCTTTTATATCACTCATGGGAAATAATTCACCACAAAAAGCTGCAAAGGATTTGTTTAAAAACAAATTTGGTTAATGTCAAAATATTTTCAGAAATTAATAAATGAGGCTATGTAGATGTGACTTACATCAGATAAAGTGAAAAAGTTAACATTTGTTACTGTTTTTAAGAAGAAAAGGCTAAATGTTTGGATCTTTTCATGTTATTTAACTGCAAAGCAATGATTTGCATGGCTCAAAAAAAAAAAGACTCAATGATTCATAGTCACGGGATTTTGATGTAATGTCAACATTATTTAGCTTTGATTGAGCTCTTTAATGCAAAATCTACATTAGGAGAACTACATAAAACTCTCACGCTGCTCATCAGTTGTCGTTTGGGTGGAAAAGTTACTGGACGTCTCCTTTACCTGGTAGGAATGACCCAGTTCTGAGGTTCTATGATGCAAAGGACACACCCACTGCAGCCATGACCAATACACTTTTAAATCACTACTACTTTTAAATGTATCAGTTTTAGAC